CGTGCCAATTCTTCTTGATTTTGATACGAGTCTTGCTCAAGTAATGCCTCCAATTCTGCATCTTCGAAAATCTCTCTTCCACCGCTATGCCGGTCTTCGACGTCAAAATCACCGTTCTTGAAGCGTTGAAACCACTCACGACATGTTCTTTCACTAATAGCGGCCTCACCATAAGTATTTGAGAGCAATCGATGAGCCTCAGCCGCAGATTTCTTCATATTGAAGCAAAAAATTAAAATCTCCCGCAAATGATGAGAATTTGACTCGTAAACTGACATTTTCAATCGAGAATAACTTTATGATGCAGACACAAATCGACTAATGTTTCTATGGGGTTATGTTGACAGATGCCCAAGTTTATTGTATGACGTCTATGATCTATTTATTTCGACCACCACTTACCGCTAAAGCCATCTATAGGAAAACGGCGGAAGCAAAGTTGTACATCTAATAATAAACACTATCTGTTGACTCCACCATTTATTGTTCTTGGATTGAAAACTATTTAGAAAATTCATTATTAGAAAATTCATTATTAGATCATGCCTGTAATCATTGTAAAACAAGATTTTAGAATTTTTGTCTTTAAGTTTCATTGAGATGAGCTTTTAAACTTTATTTATTATTTAATAAACAAATATTTAGCAATAAATTCTTCATGTAGTGATAAAGTAAGATGCTAATAGAAAAATACAGGATATGTTGACAGAAGTTAGATTTGATGATCGTAAAACCATAAGGCATGGAAATCTTAATATGAGATATCCAGGATATTCCTAATATGAAATAATCAATGTTCCTATGTCATAGTGAAAATTGCTAAAATATAAATGTTATTGTACAATAACAAAAAGATAACCGGAGTGAACGTCGAGTGCCTGCGATGCTTAATTCCAACTACCTAAAGACGAGTTTTGGGAATCTATCGCTCACTTTTCATGCACTGGCTGTATTTGTATTTTAAAAATATTAAAGTTTTTTAATTGCAATACTGATATACTTTGCGTTTTACTATCGATTTCTCGGGGCATCTCATATTAGAAGCACAATTTTTTGACTTTGCACTTTTTACATTTCTTTAATTTTCAAAAAAAAATGGAAAAATGGAAATTTGAATTAAATTTTATATAACATTATTAAATCTTAAAGCTTATTAAATTCTTTTCAAAATCACCTATTATTTGTTTTAATTCTGCCATAGGTTTCTAGCATTTACTTAAAATGAACTCGGAATCTCATAATAGGGATCTTTCCTCTACATTATGTATATAATGTATATAATGTAACTAATAAACTGTCTAAAATCTTTACAGTATCACTCGCTGTGAAATTTTACTCTCAAAGATAAAAAATTGAGTTACTCTTTTTCAAGACGCTCAATTTTTACTCTTTAGAATAAAATTCTACTCCAAAGGATTTGGAAAACATATATCTAATCAATTAATTTATATAGATAAAATAATTTTAATTCATATACTAGTATATATATATATATATATATGTATATATATATATATATAAGCACGTGATACATTAATCCTGCGATATTCTAGTTAAATTTCTCTCTTCCCATCACTATACTTCAATGACTTAAATAGGAAAATTTAATTACCTTAATGTACGCGCTGGTCGTTGGTGCGGATGGATTAACTTCCGAGGCCTTTAATCGAAGCGCATAATTTCCAGCCAGTCCAAAAAATTCACATTTCAATTTGACGATCTTCGACGAAGTGAAGCCATTTATTTCTTCGTAATAGAGCACCTAGGCAAGTTCGAGGAACATAAGAGATTGGATTTCGTAACGTTCTCGTTTCATGTGACACTCCCTTTATTAAATGTAGCGCTTACTTGCATGCGACTGTTGTTCTGTGGATCGCAGGCGGCCGCGGTAGTACCGCAATATATGAGTTGCAAAATATAAGCTGCCACAGGAACACCATTAGCAGGTATACACGAGATTCCCTTGTACTTTATAGTAGCTATTATCGACTGATTAGGATATGTACCAAAGTGTTGGGATTCCAAAAGCAAAGAAGGGGTTGGCCACTTTACATCTAAGGCACTGCTCATCTATGTTTTACATTCCAATTAGATAATACTTCTTCAAACGGTATATTAATATTATAAATACAACGTTTATTATGATTCTTTTATAATTTCTTTCGTGTCTTCAAAAAAAATGTATGAAGTGAGATTTCAGAGATGAAGAAAATTGATTTCTATATACTTTTTATCAATCTTGAATTTTATCTTAATTCATATTAATCAATATTAATGATTTCGCAATCTCTTTAATTTAATTGCTAAAGAAGATTTTATAATGTAATGGCTAAAAATAATCAATAATTCTAAAGGTATAATGTAATAAATTATGCAATTATTGTTAAAATTATTATAGTTGTATGTATGTTAAAATTATTATAGTTGTATATATTAAATTAATTAATACATCTGATATTATAAATGCAATCTTAATTGTAAAAATAGTATACCCACCTCAATTTCAGGCAGCCCAGCAATGGCAGTGTTATGTCTGGCAGCCACGGTTGAGAACTTGTACTGAAGTCGTAGTGTATAAATTCCGCCACGCGAGAAAACACCACAAGGTATTATCACAGAAATATTCTCACCCTTATGCGGCAAGGTATCCAGAGGAAAATCACCAATCAATTCCGACGTGAGGCCATCAACGTACAGTATTCTAAAATTAATACGTGAATTGAAGTGCGATATATGTAATATATGTGTAATATAAATGGAATCATTTATATTACGATATATTTATATGTCGATAGTAACAAATTAATTTTAGTTTTCCGAAACTCGACATAGGAAGGACAAGTTTATTATTGTTCATTTATAATTCAATCCATTTATGAAGAATAAAATAAAATATTTGTGAAAATAATTACATAAGTGGAACAATTAGATCGATGAAAAATAAATCAAATAATAAAAAGAATCCTATTTTCAAAACGGATCTTGGGAATTAATAATATTACATACAAATTTGAAAATACATTTTTGGTGCTATAAACTGCGCATCAATTCAATTTGTTGAACTTAAATCATAAACTGAAGTTGGAAATATTTATGAAAATGATCTTGCAACTACAGATGCTTTTATCTCTTTTATGATTATTTTACTTTAATGTTTGCTTATTTAAGGGTGCATGTAAAATATACAACTAAATATTTCAGGGCGCCGCGACAACGTGCGTGTTTGTTAAGTTTTATGACTCTTTTACATACCTAAGCACAAGCGGTTCGTGACCCGCGTTAACTTTCTCTCTTTTTGGTTCGATTGTTTCTTTCTCGTCTTTTCTTGCGCCATTTGTACCGTTGGTGGACATGATATTTGTAGATATCGTAAAAGATTCTATTTCTGCCGAATCCAAAATAAAAACGGTTACGTCTCCGGACAATACCGTGTGGGACGGAGGAGCAACAACTTTTAATAGTATCGGCTCCTTCGCGTCTGTCATCGATCTTGTGATACCTAAAACCAGTAAACACGAATATCTAAAGTTGCACAACTTTATGTCAAACCTTTTTTAATAAAAAAAAGAGACGTTAATAATTATCTATAAATTAATTTAAATAATTATGTTTGAACAATTATATATAATCTGATATACAAATGCAAGTGCTCAGTATTGTTCATATGATTGGAGCTAAATTATTAAAATTAACTCTAAAATTAACTCTTTAGCTGCAACTGATGAAGACTCTGAGTACGAAATGTCTTACGATAGTGTCTATTTTTAAATGGATCTAATTTTAAGTAATTTTTTAGCCTATTTTTGAATATATTGTCCTAATTTTTAAAAAATTTCTTTTTGCTCATTTATTGATTGTTACTTGATTGTGATTTACTAACTTAGCTCTCTCTTATCTTAATATAATTTTTATTTAATTTAATTTAATTACTAATTGTTAATATAATGTATATAATATAATATAAAATTAATATTATAGTAAAATTATGATTCTCAATTATGTCTTATTCTTATAGTAGAATCTTGCATTTCTTTTACGTCTGTGTGAAAATTAAAATCTATGTTATCAATACCGCATCTCAGAAGAAGGATGATTAATAATCCCAGTGATGACCATTCGAATGTCCAATTCATGTCCGGCTCTTCATTGATGATCGCCAGGGCTTAACCGAGATATTTCGGTGCCCCAGAAAATATAACAAATTTGCGTATTTATTCTGTTAATAATAATAAAATGCTTAAGTTAGAGTTAAACTGTTAAATAAATTAGACTAATATTATAAAATAAGTTAAAGCAAAGTAGAGCATACTAGAGATTACGTTTAAAGAAAATAAACCAGAGTAACCTAGATTACGTCGGAATAATAAAGCTCCTGGAAAGCTCCTTTAACCTCGATGATAACTATCGAACATGCGATTGAGGCATTAAATTCTTAAAAAATTTATTTTTGTGTAATTAAAATTAAACATTAAGATACTATAATATAAACTGAATTTTTAATTCTATTTTTAGTATTCTTGTCTTAATACTAAAAAGTCACAAAAAATTAATAACATATATTACTGATAATATTCTTTTCTTGGATATTATAATTTCTAATTCTTTTAATAATAACATTATTTTAATTGTGAGCACTGTAAATAAAGCTTTCTATAAAATTATCTTTTAAATATAATATAATTTATATGTGTATTTAAAATCTTTATTTATTGATTTTGACTTTAATTTTAGCTAAGAAATTAAATTTATTTAAATATAAAATAAACATTTAATAATTAAAAAATTAATAAATTTATGATTTTTGGTCTAAGCTTTTGCTAAATTCGTCTAGTTCTAATTATCTTATTTTTGCGATATATATTAATGCAAGGCACATCGTCGATTTACTTGCTTTATAGATGCAAATAAGTTAACGCTGCTATAGTAGCATAATTTTGCTTTGGGCCAACGATCAAAGTCACACCGAGCGGTGTGCGTTTTGCATCCCCGTTCCGCTTCTGAAAATCTGCAGCCCTGTATAATTGCACATGTTGAACCCTTAGAGCAACCCCGCATCGCTTCTCGGAGGGAAATCGAAATCGGGCATCGTCCTTTCGCGTCGGTATCGATCGGCTCCTAGCGTGCACGTTTCAGAAAATGCATATACGCGTCTGTATAACGCCGACCGCATTAAAAGATATGAGATGTTTTATATTTTTAATATGATATTTGCAAAATTAATACAGAGAATAGAGATTGCACAATTAACATTTACAAACTTAATAAATTATATATTTAATATAGAATTCTATTTTTGCCGCACATTTAAAATGTGATAAATAAAAATAGATTTTTAAAAATAATCTTTTATACTGCAATTTTTACATTTTTTATATTCTATATTGAAATAATTCATTAAATAATTTTTATCATAGATA